GAACGGCTTGTACGTCGACGCATAGTTTCTAGCATAAATCGCTCTTCGGCCGACGTATGGCAGGGGGGCGTGAACGGGGCGTAGCAACATAGTAACTTTTATTACATTGGCTGGCAACTAGTGAACTGTGTGCCCTCGCCGAGTTCTCCGGAGGACCGAATGCGTTAAAACTTTGCAGAGCTCGTCGCGGTCGCTTATCGATTCCATTCCATCTTGTAAGATGTTGATCCTGATTGTGAGACAAGCGCGAAGAACAAAGACATCTGATGGAGAGTGTTAGTATCGCTATTGTAAAACGACTTTAAATAAGCTATAAGTGCTGGAAAAAAAAAATAGAAAGTTGAACGATAGTCTAAAATAAAACGCATCTACGTCTTGAAAGTTTCCCTCGTTGTAGATAATGGCGGTCGGTTCGATTTAATGGAGAAAAGAGCGAGGTGAGTAAACGAGGTAGTCGATACGCTTGCGACGAATGTTCCATTCCCATTGTTGTTTCGCCGTGTGCAGGTCACTTCTACGACGAAAGATCGATCGAGTGGCATGGATGGTTGGACAGCGAGTGTGCGTTGTTTTCGCACGAGCTCTCCTCGTCGCGCTTAACTAGAGGTGGCCTCGCGATAGGGGAAGACCGGATGCGGTAAAGGGACGGTCACTCGCCAACATTAATTTCTGACGACACGCCGCGCAATTTCTTCTTGTGCTATCAATTGCACACGATCAAGCTGTGGTGGAAGTGTGTACATCAACGCATATCATGTTTTCAAAAATTATTTAACATACTTAGGTATGTACGAGTTGTATTAGGAGGAATACAGGGTAGAAAGTGTTAAGTTGCGATTCGACTATTCCACCTTATGAATGACGAATTCTCATGAAAAAGAAACAAGGTTGAAAACAATCTTAGGAAGTCATAACGGGATCGGAATCATTGCTGAGATTCTCACAAAGTAAGAAAACAATGAAGGCGGCGGCAGGAATTTGTTTCCTCATAAAGCTCATATCGGAATGAAAATGTTGGCGGAATTCTTGTTAGATGAGAAAGGAAAGATGCGAAATTCAAAACAATCTCCGTTGCGCATTGTTAAATTCGAAGCCTCGTTTAAGACGATCGTAATTAGATGCTCGTAATATTATTAAGATGATCATCGGAAATGACGATGTTAGAATGTGATTTTGCGATCACGAAATCTTGAGGAAATTAAAACGATTTTAAAGGTGACCGTGGGATTTTCGTAAAATAACAAGGAAACATGGTCGTCAAATTCTGATTATCTTAAGATGGCGCAACAAATTGTGGCGAAATTCTCGTAAAAGCAACATTTTACTAAAGCGCTCGTCAAAATGATACGATAAAAAACTTATAGCCGTGTAAATTGAAACAATGTTCACGCTTCTAGAAATACGATTATAAATGCGATTAAAAGAAGTATATTAAATGAAATTGTTTATCGTGTAAGTAAAATTAGCAGCGATGATCGAATTATCGTAATGAGAAAATTCCACGATCGAAATGGATGCACAAGATTCGAGAAGTGAGACTCACGTTTATACTGCTGAGGGGAGTCGGGCTGACACCCCTGCGGCCGCTGCCGCCGCCGCTGCTGACTTCCGCGTCCAGCTTGCCGATTTGCCTAATCGTTGCGTTGCGGATGATCCCGGACTCGAGTCGGTCCTACGTCGGAGTCGATGGAACCGCTCGAGCGATCCTGAAAACGCGCGAAATCACGCGAAAGATGTGGTGCGCGCACGTCGACCGTACGCAACGTTCGCCAGTGTGAAGACACCTAGCGATCTCCTTGGTGTCAGAAGGACGTAACTTGGATCACGACTCCATCTCTCGAGTGTTCAAACGTATCTCTCGGTGGAGATTTCTTCTCGCTATCGCGATACTGTCTCTCTCTCTTTCCCTCTCTCTTTTTCTCTCTCTTTCTCTTTTGAAAAGCGCTCGTTAAATCGTTTAAAACGTCGAATGTAATAATTTCAGTAAACAAAAACTGGTAAACGCAGCTACACGTCAATGTTGCATGCGCATCGTGTGGGGCTTTGGTTCAAGCAGCCGGCTACGTTCATCGCGACGAGCGCACTGGCTGAATGGCACTCGTAAAACGTATACACAATATTCGCGGACGCTCATCGGGGCATAGAGCGTCGACGTGCGGCACTCGGCGCGATCGGCCGAAGCCGCGAGCAGCATGTCAACCGATGTCTCGCTCCAACGTGAGCGAGGATGCAATCGCAAAGCATTCGCGAAACGCAAACGTTAATTTTCACGGACACCACCGCGACAGGTGACACGATACTCTCTCCTCTTTTCGCCGGCTTCGTCGGTCAACGTCGGTCGGGCGACGTAACGCCGGCGACGACGCATCCGTCCCACTGTGGTTCCTCTCGCGTGGATACTACCTGCTTTGCTGATAAGAGAAGCATTCGCGGATGATACGCGCGTGATTATAGTGGTAACGGCGGCGACGACGACGACGACGACGACGACGACGACGACGACGACGACGGCGACGGTGACGGTGACAATGATGAAGGCGATAACCGCGACGAAGGCGAGTCGGCGTGCTGCTCGTTCGCCTTAAGGGCCGTTGGTCGCAGACGCATGCTCGCGGCACGTCTTAGCCTCTCGCACTGACCGCACGTAACACGTAAGAGAGAGGTGCGTACTGTACTTGTGTGTCTACCCCCTCCTGCTGTCTTTCTCTCTCTTTCTCGCTCGTCGCTCCTCCGCGGCTTCCTTCCCTCCCGTCGTGCGCTCTGCGCTCGCCCTCTGCGTGAGCACTATTTCCCCCTATCTCTCTCCCGCTCTCTCCTCGTCACTTTCTCGTCAATTACCACGCGCGCGAAAGACGGCCAAGAGAGGAGAAGAGTTCCAACTCGCGTCGGGCCCTCTTTGAATCTGCTTTCGCGCCGGCTTCTCGCCGAGTATCCTCGGTAACTCCTCGGTAGGGAACGTTGAACGCGAGTCCGGAATTGCCGTGGCGCCACCCCTCCTTCCCTCCCGGCCCCTCTATTCTCTTCTTCCACCTCGTCGTCCTCCTCCGAGTGAGTGAGCGAGTGAATGCCGCCGCGCAACCACGGGGGCTACCTCCTCTCCTCGCAGCGCGGCGCCGCGCGTCCCACCCCGTTTTTCCCTATAATTTGCTCGGACTTTTTTTTCCTTTACACCATTTTCGTATCTCCTCTCCGCCCCGCTGCTCCCGTCGCAACTCCCCCGCTGCTGCAACCCCCTTTCCGTCTGTCCGACCTCCCTCCTCAACCACTGTTCATCCTCCGCAATGTCTCTCTTTCTCTCTGTCTCTGCCTGCGTTACGGCCACCGCCACTGCCACCGTCACTGCCTCTCTGCCTCTGTTCGCCTGCGTGTACCTCTTCCTCTTGGTGCCAGCCATGAATCCTCGATCGAGCCGAGGGGCCAGGGGGTTGCACGGTGCGCCGCCCCTTTAATAGCGCTACGTCGACCTCTTCCATTCACCGTGTCTCCATCTGCCAGCAGCAGGATGAATAAGACGCGTGCTGGAGTCGCGGTGCTGAATGCGATCGTATTGTTACCCTGAATAAACAAGACTGAAAGGTGTCGCAAAGAGGTTGCATTCATGTATGCTTTATCGGTTTTCATCAGTCTGAAGGAAAGTTTGGAATTACTATTTCGTCGATTTTATGAAAACATAATTTCTCAAAATGAGATTAAAAATAGATGAGATTTTTCAGGTGATAGTATAAAATCAATAAAACTTGTATTATCATATATGAGGGTTTGCTTCACGTGAAAGTCTACCTGCGATCCAAATCGGAACATCTGCCAGACGGCGTATAGAACTCTTTAGAGCGTCTATCTTCCCAGTTGATACTTCCTTCGGGCCGGACGGATTGTCTATAATATCCAATGACAGAAAGGTGTCAAGAAAAAACCCAATATATGCACATCGGGAGAACATTTGTATATAATTTATTTATACGAATTTTTTGACGGTGCAACGTTCCTTTCTCGCTTTATAATATGAAAAGCTCTACTTATGAAACTATTGAAAATGGTTCTTTCAAAATCTAAAGCGTGCAAATAGAAAAATAAAAGTCGTCAAAGTCGAAATAAACACACGCATTGTAAGAAAAATCTTTTAATTTAAATAATATTTTTTTCAAAAACGTTATATAATTTTTATATTCATAAAATATACATATATAGAATGTCCCCGAATTGATAGTAAAACTGAAAACCACTGATTCTATATGCAAATACAAGGCGAAAGAAAAGAATAAGATTTTATCATACTCGTCACAAGTTCAGGGATATCTAATACGTGTGTATAAGTTTTTAGAAGCTATACTTTATTCTTTTGGAGTTAAAAGTTGGAAGAAAAAATATGTATATATAATTGTGTATATTATGCACATAATATGAGATATGGATTAATATCAATATTACTCAAATCTAAGCATTAAAGTGTTTTTTATTATTGATTATTATTGATTCTTACGATTCTTGCGATGTTTTGTTACTTGACACATCGGCATCATTCGCTATCAGTGCTGCTAGGGCTTCGTGGGATTTATTACTAGTAATCGGTTGATGTTGATTGTTGAATGTGAGTGGAAAGATATGTGAGTGTGGTTCGTGAGGAATATTTTTTGGAATCTGGCTAGGGTAGATGACTGCATTAGAACTGATGGTTTTAGAGTTTGAAATAAAATGACCTGGTGGAAGTTGTGCTGTTCCATGAAGCATTCCAGTATTTTGTCGCGTATAATGCTTGTGTTCCATTTCTTTGTTATTTTTCTTCATTATTACTACATTTGTAGATATGCAATTTTATTGGATATTATTTTATTGATTGATTAGGATTACTTCTTGGCTTTTTAGTTTTTACAAACTAATATGTATTTATTATGTGATTATTAATTTTTTGTTATGATGTTTGTTATAATTATCACTTAAATGACATACGTACTTTTTGTTTTTTACATATTTACTATTCTGTTTTTTTTATCATTTTTCAGGACGACGAACATCTCAACGTTTTGCATTTTCGATGGCTCAGACGACATCTCTATTATTAAATACGAAATTCAAATACAGACCTGACCTGCTTGATAAATGCAATGTATCTCTCTTGGAAAGAGAGATTGTCTATAATATCGAGTGACAGAAAGAAATCAAGAAAAACTTCGATATTTGTACATCGGGAGAACGTTTTTATATTATCTATGTATATGAATTTTTTGACAGTACACCTTTCTTTCTCACTTCATAATATGAAAAATACTACTTATAAAGCTATTAAAAATGGTTCTTTTTAAATCTGAAGCCTATAAATAGAAGAATAGAAGATGTCAATATCGAAATAAACGCACGCAGTTTAGAAAAATCTTTTAATAAGATAATATTATTTCAAAAATGTTATGTGTAATTTTTATATTCATAAAATATACATATATAGAATGTCCCCGAATTGATAGTAAAATTGAAAAGCCATTGATTCTATATGCAAATACAAGGCGACAGTAAAGAATAAGATTTTATCTTACCCGTCATAAGTTGAGGTATATCTAATACGCATAATTTTTCAAAAGCTATACTGCATTTTTTTGGAGTTAAAAGTTGAAGGAAAAAATATGTATACATAGTTGTGTATATTATGCACATATTATAAGATATGGATTAATATCAATATTACTCAAATCTAATGTATTAAAGTGTTTTTTTATTATTGTGAAGGCAACTACTATCAAATGGATCATTGATCAATTTTTAATAACCGACATATCTCTATGAATATAACATTCGAGAATATTTTAATTTGTGAATTTTAAATGTGAAAAATCAACAGCATTTTTTTATTTGCTTTATTTTTATTTAATTTACTCTGTACAACTTATTTATACTTTATACGACGCTATCTATCTATACATTTCTGCAAGAATATTTCCATTGTCAAATCCAAAATTTGAAAATTTGTCTGCATGCTATTATCTTTTTCATGATCCTTTGTGCATATTATGCTTACGTTCTTCGTGTTTTTTCAAACTACCTTTTGTCGAATACTTTTTAAAACATATTTTGCACTTATGTACCTCACCGCCAGTATGCAAGCGGTGGTGAAATTTCAGATTGCACTTCTGACTGAATTTTTTACCGCAGTTCTCCCATGTGCAGTCGTATGGTTTTTCACCGGTATGAGACCTCATATGTGTTTTCAATTTGTACTTCGTACGAAATGACTTTTGACACTTTTTTACAGGACACTTAAATTTATGTTTACTATTACTTGTATGTTTAATTTTACTGTTACACAAAATGTCATTGCAATTAGAAGTGCAGTCACATTTCCTGATGCATTCAGCATCCGTTTTATCATCTTTGTTTACGGATGTGGAAGGTAAAACTGTCGAAGGTGTCATTGACATTGAGTCTGTTTCTGATACGTCAGAATTTAACTCTATTAAAGTCTGCGGCTGATTGTGAGTTGGTACAAGTTGTTTGATTGACGCAATTTCATGAGTTTTATGATTCTGCGATACATTTTTACTTGACACATCAGTATCATTCGCTATCATTGCAGGTGCTGGTGCTGCAACGGCTTCTTGGGTTTCATTACTAGTTATGGGTTGATGTTGACTGTTGAATGTGTTTGGAAAGATAAGCAAGTGTGGCTCGTGTGCAATGTTTTCCGAAATCTCGCTAGGATAGAGGGTGACATTAATATCGCTGATTGGTGGATATGAGATAAATTGGATAATAGGTATATAGTATGCTGTTTCATAAAGCATTTCGGTATTCTGCAATGTATAATGTCTGTATTCCATTTCTCTGTTAGTATTTTCCATTGGCATCTCGTGTATTAATTGAATTATATTTTTATCTTCGTTGTCAAGCTCATGTTCTGAAGGTGATGACATCGTTAATATCGATTTTCTATTTTGCTATAATGATCTGAAAATGAAAGAACTGTATATTTAATCTTTGACATACAATTTTTATTTTAATTTTAATGTTTATATATGTCATTGGAAAAATTCAACAAAACTATTTTTATTTTACTTGTGCAAGAATTTAGCATACTTCATCTTTTTATTTCATGGTTCTAGCACTGACATTGGGTTCCAAATATTAAGAAATTATTATTTTTTATTTTTTCGATAATAGAACTTAAGAGGCATTCAGCAGATGTCTACCTGTGTAATTGTGAAATCTGTTGGTAATGTTTGTCCTTCCGATTAATCGCAGTCGCGTCAACTGTTTTCGTGACCTGTACATCAGAATTTCTTTTTCACAGTTTTGTTGTAGAGTGTTATTCTGTAATCATATGTTTGGCGGTAATTATTCTAAAGCTAAATGAATTGTTTAATTAGCAATATATGTACATAAATGTCTTTACAATTTACTTTAATTCAATGAATCATGCTTTTTAGAAAGCGGCTAATGGAATGTTAATATAATATCTAAAGCTCTGCAATTGTGTACTTTACATGTGTGTGACTTATATATATTACTATCTACTATTTTAATATTATTACACACTTTTCGACTCCCCGTAACTTTTATTTCCGCGAGAAAAAAAGCAAATTAAAAGTGGCTAAAAAATCTGTATGTGTGAATGTGAATCGCTCTGTACGTATCATAGAAATATAAATACTGAAGTAATTACAACTTTTAAGTAGCACGAATAACTGTGCAAAGTAGCCTATTTAGAATATTTGTTGAAAGTTATTTGATTAGAATTTTGTTCGAGATTGAATGTACAGATCGAATATTCGATGACCAGTTGTAATCGCCGAAATTTCGCGAATATCTGTGTGACATTTTCGAAAAAAAAACGCGAGAATCTGTAACGCTGAAACGACCGAAATCTAGCTGTAATTAGCTGTTTGATTAAATCATAGTATGCATGATAAGCAATCATAAGCTTAGCGGCAATCGCGACTCACTGGGAACGCATATTGTGCATAAATATACAGTGAAATTCTCCGTGATACCACTTATAAACTTGTCTCACACACACGAGGAACTATATATTACTTCAGACACATATTAGATACTTATCTAAAGATTTTAGTAGCTCACTTTATAAGTCGTAAACTTCGATGAATTGTAATCAAAATGTGAACAGAAAATGAACTAAATCCGCGCGCGTTAAATTGTAGTGAAAATTAATTAAAATTTAAGACAAAACTACCAGAACTTTTTCTCTAAACATCACTCATCGACTGCTAGACAGCGTATCATACGTTTAACTGTGCGTTTCTAGACGACAAATTGACGAGGCCTTGATCGTAGGTCACATTTTGTTTATAAGAGTTTGTTGTAAAAGAAATCCAACGAAACACGCTTGTTGCGGTATATTTGAGAGAAATAATGGCATTTATAATTGTTATAAATTTTCTTCAAACCAAAATTTAAAAAATTTATAGAAGAAGGTATCACCATCTCATTTCAATTATCACAAATTCCTGCATTAATCTTTTTGGATCGAGAAAATGTATTTGAAATGTTTTTTGTATTGTACAAATCGCAAAGCATGTGATTGCAGTCTTGATGACGTTAGAATGTTCTTTGAGCGAACCAATTTTTAGCAAAATAAACGTTTTCAAGATAGATATATTGAAATCGTAGAATGCGCATTTATAGCGCATTTATTAGCGGTTTCTTAAAAAGCGAAACGTTTCATTTATACGCCGCTAAGACATGTTTTACAATATAGTGCCGAAAGACTGTTTTGGTAGAAAGAAATTTGTTACGAATACTGTCTACTCGCATCCAGCTGCTTCTCTGTTCTGTTGAGGAACCACTTTTAATTTCTGACCGGCTGCTGTACCGGGAAATTGTGAAACATTTGACGATTTGTAATTAAATGATCAGTCGCTAATCAGAATTTATCATACTTATAGAAATGACATAATACATAATTTACACTACATTTGTAGATATGCAATTTTATTGTATATTATTTTATTGATTGATTAGCGTTACTTTCTGGCTTTTTAGTTTCTACATATTAATATATATGTTATTACGTAATTGTTAATTTTTGGTTATGATATTTTTCATAATCCGCGGTTCACATAGATGACATACGAACATTTTGTTTGCTCACATACTTACTATTCTGTATTTTTCATCATTTTTTAAGATGACGAGCATCACAGCGTTTTGTTGTGACTGCGTTTTCAATGTCTCAGACGACATTTCTGTTACTTAATACAAATTTCAAATACAGACCTGATTTGCTTGATAAATGCAATGAATTTCTGCTGGAAAGAGAGATTGTCTATAATATCGAGTGACAGAAAGAAATCAAGAGAAACCCCGATATCTGTACATTGGGAGAACGTTTTTATATTATCTATGTATATGAATTTTTTGACAGTACAACCTTTCTTTCTCACTTTATAATATGAAAAACACTACTTATGAAACTATTTAAAATGGTTCTTTCAAAATCTGAAACCTACAAATAGAAGAATAGAAGATGTCAATATCGAAATAAACGCACGCAGTTAAGAAAAATCTTTTAATTAAGATAATATTATTTCAAAAATGTTACGTAATTTTTATATTCATAAAATATACATATATAGAATGTC